TTATTTTTGAAAATTTCATATGGAGTTTTCTTTAAAATTGGCCTAATCATTACTCTATTTACAACATAACAAGCGGTATTTGTGGCTTCCGCCCAAAAATATTTTGGCAAATTATTTTCACAAAGCATGGTTCTAGCATTTCTTCTAAAGTTCGATTTTTCCTCTCAACAACTCCATTTTGTTAAGGGGTTCTAGGTGCTGAAAAATTATGGCTAATACCATTAGAATTACAAAATTGAGTAAATCCCAGATTTTCAAATTCAATGCCATGATCACTCCTAACACTAGTTATAGAGTAAAGTAACATTTTTCGTTTTGGATTATTTTTGAAAACGTGATGAATTTTTCTAATGCTTCATCTTTAGTACTTAAGAATAGAACTCAAGTATATCTAGAATAGTCATCTACCAAGGAAAATGCATATTGTTTTCCACTCAAGCTAGTAGTTCTAGATGGCCCAAAAAGATCTATATGGATCAATTGTAATACTCTACTAGTTGATACGTCATTAATGGATTTAAAAGAAACTCGCTTTTGTTTTCCTTTAGCACAAGCATCACATATTTTATCATTATCAAATTTCAGTTTAGGCAGCCCTCTTACTAAGTCTCCTTGAATTAACCGTTGCAAAACACTCATGCTAGCATGTCCTAGTCTCCTATGCCATAACCAACTATCATGCTCATCCTTAGCAACTACGTATAAATTAGTCATATTAATGGAATCTAAATGCACCATATAAATGTTTCATATTCTATGACCAACAAGCATAATCAAAGTAGATGCAATGTCAATCAATTTTGCAAACACTTAATTCAAAAATAAGACATTGTATCTTTTGTCAAATTCACCTATTCAGATTATGCTTTAATCCATTCACATACAAAACATTATGCAATGTTGATTATTGAGATTAAGAGCACATGCATAAAGTTTTTGAAAATGTTATGCATTAAAACTTTATAATATTTAAACAAAAATCTATGTATAAACATTAAGAAAAATTTAAGGTCAAAATTTTGCAAAACCAAAGTTCTTGAAAAATCGATATCAATTATATTTTTTAAAAAAATTTTGACCAAAAATTAATATGATGAATTAGAGATTATAAAACATTGCCAAAAATTACTATGTTCATCATACAATATTTTTCAACATACATGAGATAAAACATAATTATTCAACATTTAAAACCTCATGCATGCATAAACTAAATGAGCAACCAAATAGAATAATTACATTAAGTTTAGAGGTTACCAATTTCTTTTTCATGTGTGGCAAGGGCATCTTGAATATCATCATCTTCATCACCATTGCTCCCACACACCTATAAGAGACATTTAAGTAGATTTTGGTATCCAAATTGCTTTGGATCAGTGAATGTTAGTTTCAATGCCCCTTGTTCCTTTTGGAACCCATACTCGTCTAATTTTAAACCTTTTCCTTTCTTTAAAGGACAAGTATGTTCCTTATGATCATGATAATGACAATGTGAACATATTGTCATTATTGAACTAGATGAATTATTTAAAATGGTCTCTTTTCCTTTTGTTAAGCATTTAAGCTTAACTTTCAAATTAAAATTTTCTTTTTCAGTATTTTCAAATTTCATTTTTGAAAGTTCTAAATCCTTCTTTAAGAGTTCATTTTGATTTTCAAAATCCATTTTCGTTTCTAGAAGAAGTTTGTTTAATTTGAAATTTTCTTTTTCAAAGTTTTCAGATTTTAGTTTTGAAAGCTCTAACTCCTTTTTCAACATTTCATTTTATTTTTCCAAATATGTTTTAGCTTTCAAAAGAAGATCATTTTTAGCTATAAGTTTAGAAATCAAATTCCTATATTTGGAGTTCATGGTCTCAAACTCTGAAAATAATTCATCATAAGCATCTTGTAACTCATTAAAAGATTTTGAATTTAATTTATTTGAGTTAGAAGATACATTTGGCTCTGTGAGAGATAATAGAGACATCACCTTTATTGGTTCTTCTTCTTCATTGTCTCCATATATCTCTTCAAGCTTATCCCACATTTCCTTGGCACTTGAACAAGAAGAAACTCCTTCATATACATTAGGATCAATTGCACAACATAACATGTGCATAGCCTTTGTGTTTTGTTGAGCTTTCTTCCGTTCTTGATCACTCCACTTCTTTGCCTTCTTCGTAGGAGATGAATATCCTTTCTCGATTATCATCCAAGCTTCTATATCAAATGATTGGATAAATATCATCATAAACCTCTTCCAACGACGATAATTTGCCCTGTTGAAGTGTGGAGACACGTCAATTGGTCTGGACTCTTCCATGGAGAATAAACCGGAAGTGGACGCCATCTTTATCGATTTAACTCTTCCCGAATCAACTCAAGAGGTGGTTAAACTTCAAATGAGTGAGGCCAAGAGGGGGTGAATTGGCAATTAAAATTTTGGTGGAAGCTTTTGCAGAAAATTGAAAATAATTGCACAGCGATTTAGAGTGGTTCGACTTTCTTAACCAAAGTATACGTCCACTACCTTAGCTATCCACACTAAGGATTTTCTAACAAATTCACTAATTTGTTCTTTCTTTTGAGGACAAAGAGTAACCTTACAACTTCCTCAAGAATTATACCCCAATTCTTGAGCACACTCTTTTTCAAAGAGAAATACACAAATTTACAAACTTACAAGGAAAACCTCACAATGCAATATGTTTGCACAATTCTAGAACAAGATAAGAACACTCAAAGATAATTACAATTGAGCACAAATTGTGTTCTTGAAAACAAAATGAATATTGAAAGGAAATTTGGCTTGAATTGCACAAACTTGATGTTTGATGCTTTCTCTCTTGTTTCTCAATGATTTCTTATTTCTTGTTGTTGATCAATGGCTTCAGAACTTGTTTAAATACACCTTCAAATGATTCTAAACGTTGGGGATGATTAGTGGAGTCAATAGAGCCGTTTAAGTGTGAAAACAATTAATGAAAATGGATGGGAGCGTCTGTGCATCGATGCATGCCCTAGGTGCATCTGTGTAAAATTCAAATATTTTGACCGTTGGACTCTCAAAGTGCATTCAATGTTTCAAAATAGCCAAAGTGCATCGATGCGTGGATGGTGCATCGATGCATCAAATGCATTCAATGTTTTCATAAAATCCTCAGTGCATCGGTGCATGGTATGTGCATCGATGCATGAAATGCATTCGATGTTCAATTTAATTCATGGTGCATCGATGCATGAATTGGTGCATCGGTGCATAACTATGAAAAATTGATTTTAGGCTTGATTTTGGTTCAAAATACTTTGTGAAAATTGTTTTAAAAATATATTAAGTATAAAACATAATTTTACACATTTAGTAAGGTTTGAATTTGAACTTGAAACACTTGGAGTAATAATTTGATATTTGATTAATTAAATAGAATATACTTAGAAAATCATTTGTAAAATCTTAAAATTCATTTAAACTTAATTTGTTATATCGAAACATCAAAATGTATTTAACAATATTAATTTTTGATATTTATATATAATATGATACTCAAATACTTTTAAAAAAAACACCCGAGGTCCCTGAACTTTCTAGAAAAAAACCAATATGACCCTCATCTTATTTGTTGGATTAATGTGGCCCTCCTGTAACACCTACTTAAGGCTTTACTATCCTATCACTGAAATAAGGGTCTTACGCTTCCCTTAATCATCTACTAAGGACCTCGCCACGAGTACGCCACTAAAGGATCTCTAACCCTAATGAATGTAACTGATATATATTATCTAAATTCAAAACTGACACTCTTGTGCATTATCTGAATGCAATCTGACCATACTGTGCATTATCTGAATATAACCTGACCATAATGTGCATTATCTGAATGCACCCTGGCTAGTGTCTAGTCTCACATAGACATCAGACACTAGTTAATGAGGGAACCCAATGTCAAATAGCATCGGTGTAATTCCACTAACACACGAAATAATCTCCTGGTTCTCACATAGCCATAAGGTAGATCATGGAGAGGGAACCCGGTGTCATATAACATCGATACAATTCCCGCCTATCTGAAACTTTAGCTCGACCTCACATAGCCTTCAAGCCAAGCTTTAACGTATATGATGTATTGAACTGATACAACTATACAAACATGTCTAAGGTCACACAATACTGACATCGCTAACCCACTGCTTGCGAGTGTTCGGGCCTCGGACCCTAGTTAGCTCCTGAAGTGCCTCGTGCACTGACAATATTCCACTAGGCAACTAAGGTAACTTGGCTATACCTTAGCATAGTTGGACTCACTAAAGTGATGGTATCTTTTAACTAGCTGCTATCTCGTTTGTTACTTAAGGATGTTTTAGTCAATTTAATTTAAGAAAAGTATTTTAATGATGTTTGTTATTAAGCTGATTTATTATGGTCGTACGTTACTTAAGGACGCTTTAGTCAATTTAATTTAAGAAAAGTCTCTACGCGATTCGACGATGATTATTGAGTTTGCTGATCACTAGCTATACTATTCGTTAGCCCAATACCTGACTCAGATTCAACTCTGAGTAATGACAATCTGGTCACTCTTATCGTACTTCCCTTCAATACCCCTTGAAATGAAAGGGACAACTTACCCCTTCATTGTACTGCTTGTCGGTACATCCTCTACAACTATCCTCGTCCTCACAATTCGTATACGTCATCGACTGAAAGGATTTCAACGTATTACACTTAGTATGGTTACATCTATTGGAACCCACTCCTACGAGTGTTTCTAGGTATGTTTGGTCATTTATGTCCCTCATGGACGAAGTCTTACTATTACATATCATCCTTAGCTCTTATGGCCCTTAAACGGGTCAAATCTAACTATCCCAAGTGAGTAATCTCGATACTCTACTTGCAGTAGCGGTACCCTAAGGTCAAGTAGCGATACCCCTATGAGTATCGATACCAAAAATGCATTATTTTGTTAAAAGTGGGCCTTAGTATCAACCTGGCAGTATTGATACTCCCAGCCTAAAACCCTAATTTCCCCAATTAAACCAATATCGATATTATTCATCCTAATATTGATACTCAAACCCTGAAATAGTTTATTATGCTCGAAAACACCCAAAATTCTTTCTAAATGACTTAGTTTACTTTCTAATCTTGTATTGAAGCTTTAGAGAGTTAATTAGGGCTTAAGGTGTCATAAAAACACTTCTTTGACACTTAAAACATAATTTTTTCATGAATTCAAAACTATATCCTAAAATACTTAAATATTCAAATCATTGCAAAAACTTCAAATTTATGAAAGCTTAATACTCCAAAGGATTATAAATACACTACCTTGATGTTTAAATCCCGAATTTGAGCTCCTTGCATAGCCACACTCTTTTCCTTGGTGATTTGGATGAAACCCTCCACTTTTCTTTAGCTAGGAATAACCCAAGACTTTGTTTCATTAAACTAAAGTTGGTGGATGAATTTAGGAGAAAATGGAGTTAAAAGAAGTATGAAATGACTCAAAATACTCACCTTAGCTTTTACCTTTGAAGATGAAGAAGAAGAAGTAAGAATGAAGAAATGGGGAAGAGAATAAGATGGATGAAATAAAAGGCTCATCTTTGCAAAAATGAGAAATTACACAATTGTTCCTTCCTTATTTTTCTATAATTTAAAATCCTTTTTTATGGCTAATTAGGTTCAAATCCAACCCAACGACTTAAAATATAAAATTCACGAGGTTTACTTACTCCTTTGGGTAAATCCGAAACTAATGGCCCGAAATTTGGGATGTTACACCTCCAACTCAAAAAAAGAACCCAATATGGCATTTTGACCAACGTTTTTCGTCATTGATTAACGGTTCAATTAATTCATGTTGTTATAAATTAGGTAAATTACACCGTTCATCACTCAACTATTTTCTTCTCTTTTATTTTGATCATTAAACTCTAAAAGTTTTGAATTTAAAAAAATTTAGAGACTTCAAGGACTAAGGATAAATTACACAAATGGTCACTTTTTGTTTCAACGATAAATTACCAACCATGGGTTTTTTTTGTAAACCTAAAATAATTAAATGATAAAATCTCAATTTACTCATTTCTTCCATAAACCTATCTTCTCCGCCACGTACTTTAGCTTGAAGAGATTTGATGAAGTCATTCTCTAACTGCAAACGAACATCCTTACAAAATTGGCTACTTCAAAAGATTAGTAAAGATATTACTAAGAAAAAAATGACTTTTACAATTAAAACTCAAAACCCAGATATTCCAGAAAAAAAAAAAAGAGAAGGAAAAGAAAAACATACGTGGAGTTAATTCTGAAAGCAACAGGTAACGGTTTTCTGAGCACTTTCATGAAAGCATCCCATTTATTAAGCGAAACAATCCCTTGTTCCTGCAAAAAAAAAAAAACAATTACATAAAACATTTGAATGTTTCAAATATAGATCAAAGTGAAACGATACAAGCATACAAAAATGTATAATTTACTTTGTAATATTCATCAAAGGAAGGATTTTGAGTTGCAAAAGGCTACCAAGATGGGTTATTAGAGTTGGGGGTTATTGGGATCAGATAAAAAATCTGTTTTTCGTCGTTTCCAAACATTTTCTCTGCTTTGTTTAAAATGCTTTCTTTGAGTACGAGACCCTCTTTGACCTCCCATTGTTTATGCTTCTTCTTCTTCTTCTTTATTAAGCAGCGTGGCCGAGAAGATAGGTTTGGAGGAAGAAAACATATGAAAAAATGGGTAAATTGATATTTTATCCCTGAATTAATTTGGGTTTACAAAAAGACCCACGAGTTTACATGTTGTTTCTTGTGTTTATATTTACGTTTTGTCAAAAACTTGCTGGTACTTCACAATGCAATTGGTAAACCTGTCTGGAATTTGGCTTTAAATCTTCCAAAACTGAATGATGGGTAGATCGTGTATACGAGGTAGCGCTTTCTTGTAAACCCTTTGCTTTGCATGAGTTTGATGTTATGTATAAGTATAAATGGAGGACTACGAATTTTGGGTTGTCAAACTTATTAAATGTTGTCTCTTTTCTGAAGAGTGGTGACATAAACAGGGGCGGATTGACGTGTAGTTTACTGGGGTTAGTCGATTCTACTTGAGCCTAAGAATTCCTTGTAAAAAGTAGGAAAGTTTGGGAGAAAAAAATTAAATGTAATTGAACCCACTTGATATGAAGTTTTAATCCACCATGTAATCACCATTTTATCCCCCATACTATTATTATTACAAAAATTAATATGAAATACAAAACAAAAAAATTAATTTAGAAGGGATAAAAATCCCTTAATATCTGAATGCCCCGGTTGTAGCTGATCACCAACCCTCCCATGCCCTTCCATGTCCCACGTGAAGCAGCAACACCAGCCCCTGCCATGCGAGCAGCCACGCCAACTGCACCAACTGCACCAAGTAAAATGTATTTTTTATTTTATCTGATGGATGTAACGGGTTGGTATAAAACCCAAATCAAAAGCAATTGTAAGGAGGGATTTTTTTGGGGAAGCATTCGAATACAAAAGAAAAAAACAGAGAAAGTTCATTACTTTTGCAAAAGGTTCACTTCTTTTCATTCCTTTTTATTTTTTATGCATGTATGCAGTTTCCATAAAAACACAGTAGAGGGAAAGGGAGAGAAGAGTGTGCTTACCTTCCTTGTGAGGCTCCTCGTCGGATTATAGACGACGGGTGGGGCTGGATTTCGGTTTGGTTTCGTTCGGGTTAGAGACCGACCACCGATGGAGGTGGTCGGATAGAGGCGGTTTTAAGTGATTGGGGATGCCTTTGGTCGAAGTAAAAATAGAGGGTGGAGAAGCTTAGTTTTGGCTTCATTTTAGGGGGTCGTTTCGTTTTTCGGCGGGTTTAGAGCGGTGGGGTTCTTGGAGGCCACCGATGGGCGTGGCTGGCGGTGGCTAGAGGTTCTTTGGATTCCACGGCCGAATGTATAAGAGAGGGAGAGGAGAGTTTGGTGTTTGGAGAGAAAAAAATGAATGAAAGAAGAAAAGAAAGATTTTTTTGGTTTTGTACGTGCTTCTGGAAGTAGATAGAGGATTTTGTTTTAAAATTTTGGGTAAATCACGTGTCAGGTTCCTAGTTTCTAGGAGCTTTCTGCTTTGTTCACCTATTTTAGGGGTTCATTATCCTTAGGTCCTCATATTTTAGGAGTCTATTTATATTATGGTCACTAACCTAGGGTCAAATTCCATATAGCCACCTACAATTTTACCTTATCTTTATATTTTAGTCACACCAGCTAGGAAAAACAATGCATAGGTCCCCTAAGTTTTAGATTGTTTTTACATTTTGATCCTTTTTATTACTTTATGTTTTGTATTATCCGTGCACTTTTTTTTTTGTTAATTTAGTCTTATTGATATTTTGTTCTTAGCTAGTATTTGTTTTTCAGCATCTTTACTTTATTTATTTACATTTCAACACCTCTTTATTTATCATCATGTATTTTTAGCTTTGTATTTTTCAGTATTCTAATTATTGCAATGTTCTCTTTTAGTCCCTAGTTTTGGTGTAATGTATTATACGCTATATTTTGCATGTAAAATATATGGTATGTGTTTTATCTTTTAATATTTATAACTTAGGTGAATGTACAATCAGATTAAATTTGGTTACATGGCATTTCTTTTAATTTTATGTATAATGTTCGATTCTTTTTATGATTTGTGTTTTAAATTTAGATTAGTTTACTTAAAACTTAAATTGAATCCCTAGTTTTAGGTTTCTCTTAATTTAGTTCTAGTTTGATTACTTAGCTTTTAGATTAAATCCTTAATTTTAACTTTTTTTATTTAGTCCCAAGGCTTTAGTATTTTTAAATTTTGGGTTATGCTTGGAGTTCCATATTGTAATATTTTCTAAATTGAATACTCGTTTATAAATAATGTATATGTATATATGTAACATTTGTTCATTAAATATTTTTATTATCATTGATATATATTAAATACTTTAATGTGCTTTTTAATATTTTATTAAAAATGTTTGTTATTACATGTAGATTTATACACAACATCATTAGATTAGGTGAGTACATGAAAGCCTCATAAGCATGACTCGACTGATTCCATAATTAGATTGAAGGTAATATTTATTTATTTTAAAATATTAAAAAAGGACCGTCTTAAAGTAACTAGATATCATATTCTGACATTTTAAAATAAATAAATAACCTACTAGAAAAACCTAAAAATCAAGTATGCTTAAAATTAATCAAGATTAAAAAGAAAAGGAAATGCTCTTTTGTTTAAACTTGTCAAGACAATTAGTCTACTTTTCATTAGGGAATTGGTCTTGATCTTTTGGATAATTGAACATCCCTTATTTTCTAATTAAATATGTAATTTGGATTAATTGGTTTAATTTTTTTATTTGGTCAAATCAAATTATTTTAATCTCAAATTCTTGGGAGAAATTATTATATTTTTTTTATTTCAGTTGGAAAGAGAAATATTCGTCCTAAAGTATTTTAGGGATTATTTTCTCTTCAATTGGAAATATTGGAATATTTTCTATGTCTCATTAGATTTTTTTCGTTAAATAAAAATTGTATGGTTGAATTTGGACTAATAAGATCATAACTTAAATTTATATTCGAATTCTTATATTTTCACTATTATAGACAATTTATAATTGATGTGTTACCAATTTTGGGCGTTGTGGGGGTGCTTATCATTTCTTATGCGTAATCGACCCCAAATCCTTTTTTATTACTAAAAAAGAATGAATTTCTGGTCACATATTGATCGGTGCATCTTTTAAAATGATGTTTTCTTTAAAATTCTTTTAAAAGGCAGTTTATGAGTATTCGACCTACCTGACCCAAAAGGTCGATGGAGACTCCAAAATATTTCTTTTACAAAAATCAAATTTTTTACAAATAAGTCGAGACACGTCGTATCGACGAAAATCGGTTACAACACACCACTGGACATAAATAAATATGACTAGATATTGCATTTGGATTTGAAGCATGATATTAACAAGTGAAACCTCAGTAATCA